AATCAAGTATTAACAAAAGTTAAATCTCACACCTTAATTTTTGTTTAAAGCTGACATTTTTTGTTTCAATATATAGTTTAAGCCATTTTTGTAAATGTATGGTGAAGTTTTGTTCAACTCGGCTTGGATTAAAAGATATTTAGCCTTTCTCCAGTTTCACAAAGAAATTCAAGCAGACATAGTTATCAGGTATAAAAATGCTAATTCTAAACAAAGATTTCGAATTTATTATTTTATTTCCATGTTTATATAGGCTGATATCGAATCCTAGAGTTAAAAATTTCCCATTGTCACTGTTTATCTTGTAAACATCAAACAGCCTTTCTCCAGCTTCACAAAGAAATTCTATCAGGTATTATCTCTGATTATCAGGTATTAAAATGCTAATTTTTAAAAAAAGATTTCTAATTTATTATTTTATTTCCATGTTTATATAGGCTGATATCGAATCCGATACTATATTGTTTGCACTAATGTCCGATTGAACTAACGTACTTTTGCTCTAAAGTCAGCTGATCAGTAACCGGTTTTTAGTACGATCGAACATTAGTGCAAATGAACAAAAATCGGGTTTTCTGTGTTCAATTGAACTAAAATCTTATTTTCCTGCCAGGAATATTTTAGTACAAATGATCATTAGTGCAATTGATCTGGAATACTAAAAATATTTGTTCAACGCACTAATTTTTTTCTGTAAATATTAGTGCAATTGAACGTTAGTGCAAATGAACATGTTCAAAAAATAAATTGTTTAAACGGACTAATATTTTTTTTTAATATTAGTGAAATTGAACGTTAGTGCAATTGAACATCTCCAACAAAGAATTTGTTCAAACGGACTAATTTTTTCTAAAAATATTAGTGCAATTGAACGTTAGTGCAAATGAACATGTCCAAAAAAAATTTCAAACGGACTAATATTTTATGGGCAAATGGTAAAATTTTAGATTTTAATTCGATTGAACATTTTTTTGTTCATTTGCACTAAAATAAGTTCATTTGTACTAATAATATTTCATGGGCATGAAATGGTAAAATTTTAGATTTTAGTTTGATCGAACAGTTTTTGTTCATTCCCACTACAATATGTTCAATGACTCTAATTAATTAGAATTTTTAAAAATAGTTCTCCACGGGCGCAAAAAACCTTCCACGTGGTTTTTAGTTTGATTGAACAATCAGTTGTTCATCGCACTAAACGTTAGTCCGAATGAACGTTAGTGCGAATGTACGTTAGTCCGATCAATCATTAGTGCAAACGATACGGCACCTCGAATCCAAAAGTTACACTAGCAGCGAATAATGAATATAAGAGTAGTGAATATAAGGAAACAAACTGATTTCGTATTATCTTCTCTGAAGTCTCATTCTTTACGGGTAACCCTGAATAACGCCACACCGGTAACGAGGAAAAAACACAGAAGACGACGTTCAAAAACATTCCGTTAACATTTCATCTACAGGGACTAATCAGAAAATTTAAAAACAATGAATCATTTTTAAAAACACGTAAAAGGTTTTCATAAAAGTTTTCTTGCATAAAATACTGGGTTTTTCGAGTATTATTCGCGTATTGACTTTAAAGCTTGGAGATAATCTGATATGATATGGGACGCTCTAGCTGTATATACATATACACTATACAGGGTTACCCACTAAGGATGAGCCTTCAGAGACGACTGTATTCGAAATTTGATTATCCCATTTTCTTGCATTTAGGGTTCCTTATAGGCCAAAACTGGCTTATTTCTGTGCTTAATCAATCAGTAAACCGTCAACATACTCAAATGATAAAATTTAATGCAGAAACTAAAAAACAAGCTTCAAATCGTCATATTTTTAGAGTTTTATAGTTCCGTACCTCAGACACATCTTAAAGGATTTGCTTAAATTTTGACTAAGGAACTCGTTAGTTTCGTCAAAAATGTTGAATATTTTAGAGAAGGTTTAATTTCCAGGCAAAGCTGGGTTTCAAGTAAGTACAAATATAAAAAGAGCGTATTTTAAAGACATTAAGTGAGAGCTTTTAAAAATGTGGTCAGCAATATTTTCAAACATTATAAAAGGTATCTAAAATTCGTATAGTACAGGAATCTGGAAAAAAAATATTCACTTAAACTGCGTACATTTATTAAATAATTGGACTACCTATTGGCTATTTCGTCTAAACTTTTCCCAAATCACGATGCATTTTCGACCTCAATTTTTCGAAAATTTTCGTTTAATAGCGTTTTTTTTCTCCATTTAAAAGATAAGGTACATAATGTTAGGAAAACAATAATTTCTATAATTTGTTTTCAATATTTCATTGAAAATACAATTATACATTGTGAAGGATGACAAATTAAAACTGTTGATAATTTATAACAAAAATAAAATTACTTTAAAGTGGGTTAACCTATAATATATTTTTTAAGCACTATAAAGCTAAGCAAGTTTTTCCTCCAATTTTCAAATAGGGTAAAAAGGGTTATTTTATTCACGAATCATGACAGTAGCCTATGACGACTTGAAGGTCGTCTTTGATCTTTGACATTTATTTTAGAAGTAAAATTATAGAGTAAAAAAATACTCCTAGTTTTAGCATTTAAAAAATGTGGTCTGCCCTTTTCTCAATAGCCCGGTTTGTTTGTCCGGTTCTAGCTATGATTTAGCTGCGACTTCCTAGCTTAGCTATGATTTTGTATTCGTTAGTCCAAAATCAGAGCAAGATCGAAGCTTAGGTTAGATCTGAAGTCGGAGCTAAATATCAGCTGAACATCAGCTGATGGAAATCACACCTGAGGTTGGATTTAGCTTCGACTTCACAGCTAAATCACAGCAAATGGGAACAAACTATTCGCCATTTTTAGGTTTTCACATGATATTGGGTACAAATAAGCAGACATTAAAACTACTAAAATTTCAAAACATGAAAATTGAGACCAGAAATAATATGCCAAGATGCATAGTTCAGAAAAATGAAAATACTTCTAAGATTTTTTAAAAAACCTAAAAATAACATTTTTTTAAAAAAGATAATTTTTTNTTTATTTAGAATTATACAGAACTAGACAATCTCAAAAAAAAATATATAATCAATGAGAAAAAACAGAATGAGAGTGCCTTCTTTAAATTTTTAACGCGACACAAAGTCGCTTTTTTTAATTCTCTAAAATATGCCCTTCAGATTTCGGAGATATGCAAATTATTTACATTATACATAATTGAGAGTTTAGGAGCCGAATCTAGGTTCTTTGGATCGGCAACATTTTTGCTCGCGGATTCTTATTTCGGATTTGCAAAATATGCGGATCCACAGATAACAAATTCAAGTGTTCTGATCTCTTTTTTTTGCAATCCGATGTAGTGGACCTAACATATTTCAAACTATAAATTATGTCAGATAAAATAGAAATGAACTTTGTTTCTCCAAAATAAATTTAAATGCATCTTTTGTTAATTCTGAAGAAATGGGGGAAGGGCCGGGAGAGGCGTGGGGGGGGCCAGGGAGAGGCGGTAAAGTTTAAATATCAAAAGTGTACACCATCAGTTGAGGATAAAAGAAAATTTAAATAAATATTCATAATCTGGATTATTAGATAAATCGTAAAAATTCTTTAATTAAAACATTTAACAAAGACGACTTTAATTTTAAAATTCGGTAATGGTGATGGACCAAACCTCTGTAGAGTAAAAAAGTAAATGTTAGTTCCACATTTATTGAAAATATATTTCGGTCTGGGTTGACTCTCGTCAGTTCTAACAATATAAAAACCATCAAAATCGATAAAAAAAAATATAAAAAATGTTTGTTAAAAATCACAAGAAAATAAACAAACATAAAAGATTATTCAGAATAAAAATAAAATAAAAATGGAAATAAGGGAAACGAATTCAGATTATCAGATGGAAAAAAGATAATTTGCAAGTATTCACTTTTTAAAAAATGTTTAAGACAATTATTATTCCTTGAGATTGTTTCTGTCACAAAGGTTAAAAACAAACTGTTTAGATGTACGTCGAACTAATTAACGAACTTTTGTGTAAATGAGGGGGAGGGGGGACGGCTTGTTCAAGGAGGGGTATTTAAACCTTTTAAAGAATTGGACATAAACAACTCTTTTTTAAAAAAGATACTGAATTACAGTTTACAATTTAATAAAAAACTATTTTATTCTGTTCAATCCTCTGAGTTCAGTCATAAACAATCTAGATTCTCGTACTTCAAGTAAACTTTCATTTAAGCGACTTTAATTTCACTTAATGATGGTAGATTCGGTACAGAGGGGGGGGGGCACAAAACTGAGGAAAAAGAAAATTAAATTAACAAATTTGTCTGTATGTTGAATGTTGTAATACACCAAAGTTACCTTGCTAAGTAAAATGGGTCTATGCATGCATACTGAAAAATTGTGTGCTTTCTGTTCATTGGATGAAACTTTCATGATTAGAAATTGAGACCAACAATCGTCTTTATTGTAGTATAAAATATATTTATATATATCTTTTAACTTACCTTAATTGTTTTATCATGAGATCCACTAACTATTCTAGAGGAATCGAATTGAAGACAACTTATACCCCCGGCATGTCCCTAAAATATATATGTACTTATCTATGTATTAATAAATGGTTTGTTATTCTTTTTTTCCCTAAAAATAATTTTTTTGAAGAATGACTCTGAATTTATTACTTTCAATCTCCAATTTCAAATACTAAAATAAAATAAAATTGGATTTCTCTCAGTCCTTATTTGGAAAAAAGTCATTTTTTTATCAAGGACTTTTCTTCCGGATATCTATATACAACTGACATTTGACGTAAACACTACCTGTTAAAAAACTTAAAAATCACGTTGATATGAAACGAATTTTTAAAATTAAAATCCTAAAAATATTAATGCAATTTATAGGCAATCTTGATCACAACCAGGTTTTAAGAGAAGAAAACATCAAAACAATTCTGATTTTTGATTGAATTCTGTTTTTTTGTTTTTGAAGCTATTCATCAAAACTCACCTACAATACTGAGAATAATAGAGAATTTATTTATTTTCTGCTCTCGTCGGAATACTTCTAGATCTAATATTTTTATCTGATCCTAAAACAAATCATATTTTCATACAGTGTGAACCAGAAACTGGTGGAATCCTCGTTGTTTTCTTTTTTCTTTAAATTAGGAAATACAGAGTTTTGTAATCTGCAGTCAAAAGTACCCTGAACATTGATATCTGTAAATTTCGGGTTATTTCAAGTGCAGTACCTACTTTTAATCAGCTAGAGCAGACTGTGCAGTACCTACTTTTAATCAGCTAGAGCAGACTGTGCAGTACCTACTTTTAATCAGCTAGAGCAGACTGTGCAGTACCTACTTTTAATAAGCTAGAGCAGACTGTGCAGTGTGCATTACAAATACAGATTATATAAGACAAAACGGTACGGTACACCTCTAGTGAAATGTATGTGGCCACAACAATTACAAAAGAAAGAAAAAACTATATAAATTCCACAGTTTTTAGTTTGAGAACCCAATTCATGAACCCCTTGACCAATTTGCCTCACATTTTGATTAGTAAACGGGACTCCACCAATTTCATTTTAACTGAAGAGTGAGAAAAATTAAATTGTATGCATACTAGGAACTAATTTGCCTAGGGTGCTCATAGTAACTTCGCCGTTTACCCGCGCTTTTTCGTAAATAACGATGCTGCAGGGTGTCCTTTTAATTTGCTGTAACTTTGTTACTGCTTGGAATTTTTCCAATCTGTAAAAATATTTGAGTAATCAAAATATGAAAGTACAATTTGTTTTATAACTGGATTCACTTCTATTCTTCAACAAGTATAAAAAATTACCGCCATTTTCTCAAATGCATAATTCAGCTCTAGTGAAAAAATGGACTAAAACTCTTAGAAGTATTTCGGCCGCACTATAGTTTCATTAGAAGTATATATTTTTATTATCTGATTGCGCCGATTGAAGGATTCATAATGAGAGATGGAAAAATAGATGTTTCCGCCATAATATTTCTATTGGTTCAGAATAGACAACACACACATGACTGAACCCTGATTGGATCAGGCGCTAATGGACTCGGCAAAAAGGAGTGGCCGGGTTGACTTTAAAGAGGAATAACTCTTCAACTAATTAAGGAATCGACGAATTTTAAAAACTCTGAGGTAGCTCTTGAACTTGGCCATCTTCGTGCAAAATTAGTTTTATCTAACCCGCCTACCCAAAGAAAGGTGAAACTGCGCGTGAAACGTTTTATCGAAATACTGATGTATAGGAAAACTAAAATTGTGGTTTTTTTTAATTTTGGGTTAATATCTTTAGTTAAATCAACGTGACGACCCAAAAAATAAACTCTTCTTTGTTGCTTGTAACGAAATGTTTAGTTTTGCTTGTTTAATTTTCTTAAATTTTCAAAACTTCAAATAACAGAACTCTGAAAAGTAAAGGTTTGAAAAGTGTTCTCCACTTGCTGGGAATGAATTAAATTATGTTCACACCGTTATCCAATATTTTTATTTTTTATTTAATGAAGGACAAAAGGTTACCTGGTAGTGAAGTAGAGGATGTAAAAACTGATTGAATGTTTCGATATAATAAACAAGTAGGTCGTCTTCATATTCCCTAAAATCCTCCTCCGAAAGATTTGAATAGATGCAAGTAGAGACATCTATTGTTAAAGATTGAAAACAGACTTCTTGCCAATCAATTACAGCACAACTTACTTCACCGTCTTTCTAATCATACAAGATTCGATGTANGGGCTCCAGTGGGCTGGCTGAATTTACTTCATATTTGCATAAAGTAAACTAAGTAATGGTAATTATTTTTGCTTTAAAAATTCTATATTCTAATATTTTGTGCTGAACAGTTTTTAGAATTGAGGCTTTGCCATAACTCCGATTTTCTAATCCCTATATTTTTGCAACCCAATGTCGTAGACATATGATTTATCAAACTATGAATTCTGACAGATCCAATAATTAAAGTTATAAATATCAAAGGCCCATGCCATCAGTTTGCAAATTTGTGGCAAAACTCAATTTTTTTATATATTTCTTGGCAAACCGTATAACAAGACAAAAATTCGTCGACTTGAAATTACGAAAAAAAAAATATTTTAGTGATGGTCGTTTTCTCAGAATACTTAAACATGCATGGTATTAATATCAATGAACCAATTTAGCGCACAGTCCCTTTAGGTTTCAATACCTGTTTATAAAGCACAGCGTTGTTAGAAAACCTTCCATGAGACACAGTATTGAAAGTATCGGGTTCTATAAATAAAAAAACTTGAACATTAAACAAACCAAAAATCAAATCCAAATGAAATTTTGTATTGAAGAATGTCTGCAATCAAACACAAAAGTTTAGCAATTTCAAGTTGACAATAAGAAACCGTACTTCAAAACACAAGTGGGAAGACAGCTCAGCTTTCTTCAACATTTTTTATAAAAGGAAAACTCTAAATAAGATTGGAAAATTTAAATAAAAATCCTCTATAAAAATAAAAAAAGAAGAAGGGATCAAAAGAAAGTAGGGGGAAAGTATGGAGAAAAAGGTATACAAAAGAAAAAGAAAGCGAACTGAAAATAGATTAAGTTAAAGGGACTGTTTGCGAAAAACTAAAAGGGAGTCAGGATAAATCCGCCAAAAAAAGTTTAATTCGATCGCTAATAATTTTACTTCTATCTGTTGCATCTCGATTTATGTCCGAAAGTGTAGAACCCATACAAATTCACTTAATAAAAAGAAACACTCGGATCATATAAAATAAAGAATATTATGAAATTCATTGCAAGGATTCGAAAAGAACAGAATATCTGAATGATATTGAAATATTGAATTTAATTTAATTTTTCGCGAACACTTATTTTAAAGATATTGATAAGAATAATTAAACCAATTAAAAAGGTGAAAGAGTCTGGAAAAGTTCAAAATCAATGAAAAATACCGTTTAAGCCTTTTTATGCTTTAATATCTAAAATATATAACCTAAGTATAAAATATCATGACCCAAAGTTTACCTCGTTTCCACAAATATATTGAAAATTTCTTTGAGCTTTTTTAATTTAGAAATTGTATAAAACATTTATTTGCTATTCTACAGCGCTTTCTTCAAAAGCTTTGACCAATATCGGAAATACAATTCTATCTTTTACACTTTTACATCAACAGTTCACATTAAGCTAAATTTCATTCATTCCAGTTTAAAGCATAAATGTTTTGAAACATTTATTTTTAAAAAATTCTTTAAAATAAAACCAAGTTTTGAAATCTTTTTTCTCGCTCTTTACTCATGAGTGCAAAAAAAAAGTTTGTTTGTCAAAAGGTTTCTATATATACAATTCGGGCTAGGAAAAGTTCCGCTAATGAAACGGAGTTTTTCAAAAATTAACGGAAGAGCCCTTTAACGAACGACAAAAACCGTTAATTTTTAAAGCGTTAACGAAATGGGTTAGACGTTTTGAAGTAAAAAAGGGTTGAAAACGACAACGAAATTGATTGCTTTTAAATAAAAAAATAAAAAATAGATAATCATGTATGATTATAAGCGTGTACTCTGTGTACTCTGTATATATACCTATACTATACCTTTACTCTGTATTTAACTATACTCTATATTTACCTGCACTCTGTATTTACCTGTACTCTGTATTTACCTGTACTCTGTATATACCTGTACTTTGTATAAAACTGTACTTAGTATTTACCTGTATTCTGTATATAACCGTATTTTGGATATACCTTTACTCTGTATATAACTGTACTCCGTTATTACCTGTACTTTGTATATACCTGTACTCTTTGAATACCTGAACTTTGTATTTACCTGTACTCTGTATATGTTATACTCGTACTTCCTATACTCCTTTTAGTGGGTAGTGGAGTACCCTGTATATACCTGTACCCGCACAGTGGGTAGTGAAGTGCTATAAATTTACCTGTACTCTGTATTGTGGTAAGTGGAGTACTATGTATGTACTCCTCTGCTCTGAGTACAGTCTGAAGTTGGGATTCAGAAAGAACAACCTCTAATAAAAGAGTAATGCACAATTAAATAAAACAGATTGAAAAAGATTAATACACAATTATATAAAGTAGATTGAAAAGGATTAATACACAATTAAATAAAGTAGATTGAAAAGGATTAATACACAATTATATAAAGTAGATTGAAAAGGATTAATACACAATTAAATAAAACAGATTGAAAAGGATTAATACATAATTACATAAAGTAGATTGAAAAGGATTAATACACAATTATATAAAGTAGATTGAAAAGGATTAATACACAATTATATAAAGTAGATTGAAAAGGATTAATACACAATTATATGAAGTAGATTGAAAAGGAGTAATACACAATTACATAAAGTAGATTGAAAAGGATTAATACATAATTATATAAAGTAGATTGAAAAGGAGTAATACACAATTATATAAAGTAGATTGAAAAGGATTAATACATAATTATATAAAGTAGATTGAAAAGGAGTAATACACAATTATATAAAGTAGATTGAAAAGGAGTAATACACAATTATATAAAGTAGATTGAAAAGGAGTAATACACAATTATATAAAAAAGTTGAAAAATAATTTATTGCCAATTTTACAACTTTTGGAAGACTAATCTTAGTCTGAGGAAATATGTGAAATCTCCAAAAAGTAGAGGTTTTAAGAATATTTCCCTCCAATTCTAAACATTAAAGAAAATTACATATTTGTTTTTTAGTATTTTTTACGCATGGACTCACAATTTATAGGGATAACAATGGTTAATTTTATACTAAAATAAAATAGGTTTCAAGGAAAAAGATATTGGTTTTAGACAAAAAAAAACATTTTTAGGCATCTTTCTTAATTCGATTTAAGGCAAGAAAACTTAGAGACGACCAAAAAATGTGTCATGATCTTTACAAGCGATTTAATAGCCAAGTAAAAAAAAAGGTTACACGACTTTTATAAGCGTGCAAGATCATAGCACACTTCATTTGACTTGTTAATCCTATTTGGATTTTTTGTCTAATTTTCCTACATAGAACCAAATAGAACAAAATCATATAAACTTGAACGGGTTCTCTTTAAAACCCTAGAATGTTTTCCCTCTGCCTTATTTCCAAAAATATGGAATTCATAATTTTTAAATAAATATATCTCAATAGATTAAATGTAATTCTCATAACCAAGAAAATATGATATGTCGTGTATAGTGTAGATTAAAGATACATTTTTCCATTTACAAGAATTACAAATACTTAATTCGATTGATGTGAATAACTAATCTCTCGGTTGGCAATAAATAGACTGTCGCATTCTACAAATCAATTTACATGTATTGTATATTTTTGTGATACATTTTTATAAGTTTACAGATACTATCCATAAATTATAAAAAGTAAACTTGTAATGTAAATATTGATAGAAGAAATAATGAAAATTGGCTTTGAAAGCATTATACAATCACCAGCATTTTTTTTAAATTACGATAAGAATGTTAGAAATATATAAAATGTGAGCTATTGCACAATTTTCACCAAAATTTTACATGCAATCGAGATATTCTGAACAACATGTTGGAGTGTTAAGTTTATGATTTAAAGCCTTGAACTTTGAAAATTTACCTACACGTTTGTTAAAAAAAGGTCCTATCTTTAACCCATTGATGTTTACCATTTGGTAACGATTACAAATCAAATCACAGTTGTTTAGTTTTAACTCTCTCACGATTGGTTTCTTATGAATAACTTTAAAACGGCATACATTAGAACATTAAAAACTTCTTTTTCAACATAATAGTTGTAAAAAATTTTTAATTAAATTTCTTTTTTTCATGCGTAGGGTAGGGAGGAGACGGCCAAAAGGCCGCAGGTCGGTGTATAAAAAAAATGTTGATAATTTTTTTTATCACTTAAGCTACAATGCTAAGATTTATATTTCTAAAAGGCCCTTGAAAAGGGATTTAATAACATGTGTCGTATGTTATTATTTATTAAAAGTAAAAATAACTATTTTGAACATTTTTTTCGACATACTTTTAAAACTTTTTTAGAATCCTTCCTCACAAACTAACCATTAACGTTGTCTATTTTTTTTAATGAGCTGGCCTTGAAAAGTTGGACTATGGACAGGTATCAGAGCTGGCCTTAAAAATTTGGACCATGGACATGTATCACACTCTTCTATCTCAACTCTAAGGGCACAATCATAAGGGGTGGTGGAAAACACCCCCACCCAATCTATATTAGACTAAAATAGCCTAATCGGATAAGGTTAAAATATGCGGAGAAAAATGGTTGCAACGTATTAATACTTGTCAGAAATGCAAGGTTTACTTAACTAATATCAAGTTTTTTTGTAAGTATAGAAACAGCAGAATAAAAGTTAACAAATGAAATAAACTAGGCCGTTCATGAAAAAACCATAATCATAAAATGCTAACCGAAAAAATTTTTCTTGACATAAAATATCTACCGTTCTTTTGAACAAATCTTCGTTAGAGAAGGCCGTCGTTTTCGTGAACGAACAAAATATTTCAAAATTAAAGAATTTTTTTTGTGAACAATGGTGTCATTTAGAAATATTAGCAAACGATGGACAAACAAATTGGATTGTTCAGAGATATAAAAAAACGATATTTTATTTCAAAATAAACGAGAAAAACAAAATTAAGGATTTAAAAACGTATAAGATGTTTAGCCTTTTATTGATAAATTATACTGTTAACTAAATTTTATATGATATAAAAACTATTGTGTTAAACTGAACGAACAATTTTTTCTAACTTTTAAAAAACTATTGGTATTTTACTGAAGGTACGATTGTTCTGATAGAACAAACGATCTCACTTAACGAATGATTTTATTGAATGTTTATTCTTGTTAGAAAAGGAACCAAATAGACAGAAAAGAAATCATACTAATAAAAACGAACGAATAAACATTTGTACTGAAAGATTGAACAAAACTAAAGCTATGCCTTGTTAACGAACGATGAACAAACGAACTAGAAAAAAAAAGAATGCGCCCATCTCTAATCTTCATCATTGACAAACAGCAACTTGATAAACACATGAAAACACATAGAGTAAACCAAATAGATTATCAAGTACAATAGTTTGCAACAGAGAAATGGACAAAATGTACACGACGTCACAAGTGTCAAATATAACAAAGATAACGAAATTTTTCTCGCATTAGTTTACATGACTTCCAAAATTAAATAAAAAAGTGTAAAAACAGAAAGTATAGAGCACATTATATTGCAATAATTTTACTGTAAGATAAGCACTTTATTCTAAATTATCACTATAATTAATGATTTTGTCGGACACAAAAACCGAGTTGACACAATTGTGACGTCAGAATACAGCTGTACTGAGAGTGTACACATTCTACTTTGCCGTCTATTGTACTAGAATATATTTGGAGTAAACTAAAAGTTCAAAAATAAGATAGAAACAACCGGACAGAGAAAAAAAAGTTTAAACGTGCTCAGTCCTACTTGTGAGAGATACAAAAATACTAATTTTATAATAGTTTTCTAATCTAGTACTTAATTAATGACTATTAATTCAATTAATATCACTAAATCTGGATCCTCTGCTGATTTCTAATCTAATAGTTTATTTTTCCGTTGAAAATATGACAGGTTCTGCATAAAAATTACATATTTTTATGATTTCTATTAATTATCAACGGAAGGAGAGCAGCCATAGCAATCTGTTTTCAGGTTGGTCTCCTGGCAGTTTACCGTGGTATCAATTGGAACTGAATTGATGTGATAAGTCGTGGGACTGGGTTTGGAGAAGACGGAGGAACTGGGTCAGATTTGCTCAATTAACATGTTATATATTTGGTTCTTGATTTGAGACAGTAGGCAGAAAACAGAAACAGAGGCGCCAGGAACTATATTGCATTCCTAATTTTTTTGCGTTGCAAAAAAAATTAGCAAAAGTTTAAGGTCAACCCATTAACAATACCTTTTCCAAAAAAAGCAATGCCAGAGCACTGATTTTTATAAGCAGGATTTAAAAAATGCAAATTGCTTGACTTAAAAATCCATTGTCATAGAAAAAAAAATTATGTGTATGCAGTTAAAAAAATGACGATTAACTAGAGCATGACAAGGGAGTTTAATAGGTTCCCTATGATTGTGTTTGCTTTATTGACTGTTTTCTCTATCGACTTTTTGCTCTATTAATTGTTAGCTCTATTTACTGTTTGCTCTTTTGACTGTTTGCTCTAATGACTGTTTGCCCTATTGACTATTTGCTCTATTGACTGTTTTCTCTACTGACTGTTTGCTCTATTAATTGTTAGCTCTATTGACTGTTTGTTATATTGACTGTTTCCTCTATTGACTGTCTGCTATGATGACTGTATTGACGGTTTGCTTTATTTACTGTTATTCCTCTATTTGCTATTTCAAAGCAATTTAGCATTAGTACAATGACTTGTTAATAATAATAAAAAAAATATTTAACATAATTTACCTTTGGCACTTTGTAAATTAAGTAAAGCTCGTTCTTTTCTTTCATCTAAGATTTCATTCCTGGGAAAAAGATTAAAAATTTTAAATCTTTAAATTTGGCAATATGATATGTTTTCTTGTTATTCGATATCATAAAAAATCAAATTTGGTTCATAAAAAACATATTTACCCTGTTTTCATGAGTCTCTGTAAGCTGTTTGTAGAGAATTGTTTGGTTTGGTTTGTTGAAGTTTTAAACCGGTTTTCTTTCTTGCTGTTTGTCTCGTTGTTCTGTGTAGACAAGTAGACTCCTCTGCATGAAACAACAAGGATATCCAGAGGGGCGTAAGCCGTAAACAGAAAATGGGGCAGTGGGGACTAAGCCCTCCTAGCTCTGGAAAAGTCAAATATGCAATTATCAGGAGGATTTCTAACACGATCCACACTGAGATCCCCAATCAAGATTTGAGGCAAATTGGTCAGGGGTTTCATGAGTTTTGAACTATGATGGTTATATTTATAAAAACAAAGCAGCGATTACTACTTTTTAAAGCACCAGACCGTTTTTTAAGCCGCTACAGCAAGCGGTATCGTCAATAAATATGTATTTATAAGTTCATTTAATGCATTCCTGAAAATGTTTTGATTATTTGAGTGCTGGCTAAGTATGTAATTGTAAATCCACGATGAATGATATATTCAGTTGAGATTTCAATATGACGTCTGTTTCGCCAAATACTGATAAGAACAAAATTATTAAACATCATATTTTCAATTGGCTCAAAATAATTTTTCTTTCGTGTTTTATTTTAAGCTGAACCATCATACATTATTATTTTGTGTTTTGTGTTTGAAAATAAATACTATAACTATAACTATATTAACTATAAAGAAATAACTATACTGGATAATCAGATAAATAAGATTTCAAATTCTAGAATATAAAAGTCATCACAAAAATATTATTTTTTCCATTTCGTGTAATCTCTAAGTTAATTAAGCACGCAAATATAGAAAATATGTCGTATATAGAATACATTTTGTATCCTATGCTAGATATATCTGGATTGTAGATATATGATATATTATATAATCTTTTTAGACATTCTTTCTTTTGAAAATACGGGATTTCCATAACTAATTTGGAATTTGAACTTTTAATTTAAAATAAAATTCTTAATTTAACTTTAAAGCGCAAAAAAAATAATTAAAATCAACTAATAAATATACCTATCTTAAGACAAAAAAGTTTAAATCAACTACTAAAGAAAAACCAAAAATGTTAATATTGCATAACTTCCATACTCAATTGAAGCTAATTGTTTTATCTTAATTCAAATTTAGCTAGAACCTAGAAAACAAACCTACGTGAATATCTTGTTTCCCTAGCATGTAGGTCAGCTAGGAAGCACAGACAAGGTTTGATATTCTCCGCATCAAGTAGGCTAGGTATTCTGCTGTATCCCTAAATTTGATTTAAACAAATTGAGGCCGAATTTAAAGAATTTGAGCCGCGGTTTAAATTTAAGCCGCGGCTTAATTGTAATTGGTATCACTTAAAAATGTATTTAAAATTTTTCCAGATTTAAGCCGGCGCTCAATTTAAACAGGGTTTTGGCGAATTTAAGCCGAGACTTAAATTCTTTAAATTCGGCATCAAATGCCGGATTTAAAGAATTTTTAGCGGCGGCTTAAATTTAAGCCGCTACTCAAATATGGTTTGTTTCACTTAAAATTGTATTTAATGTTTCAAGATTTAAGCTGGAACTCAATTGAAACCGGTTTTTGGTGGATTTAAGACACGGCTCAAATTCATTAAATTCGGACACTGTTCTTGTAATTTCAAGAGCCGATCAAGTTAAGGAAAGGCTTGTCCGATTCAACGCCTTTATCTAATCAGAGTAATGAGAAAGATATTGTCGTTTTTTTAATCGAGCAGTATCCTTTTTTGTTGCAGTTGAAGATATTAATTTTTAAAGAGAACACATGGTTATATCATTTTTTTTACTTTTATTGGCACTGATATCGGATAAGCTGCGTTATCATTGAAAATTTGCTAATTGTTTTCTGTTTATGTTTATATTTCAGGATTTGCATAATTTTCCCATTTATTCCAAAAGTTCACAAACTTCACAATAAACATTTGTTTTACTTACCAAAGTAATTTACTCTCTACTGCTTTAAACTGTAATCTTTGTCTTTGATCTTTGAATTTTGTTGGGACATTTAGTCGTTTAGATCTCAAATTTATGAAAATAAAAACCAAAATTGTCGAAATCTGAACAAAATTAATCACATCTCTGATAGTATTGAAAGCACAACAAAAGACAGAGCACATTCTAGAAATGCCAAGAATAGGCATATTTTGTTACCCTAACTAACTTTTACTTCTAAAATTAGGTTTGTAAATAAATGTCGCAAATTATTTCATCAAAGGCGACCTTAAAGTTGCCTTGCTACTGTCATGTTTTGTGGGACACCATGCACTAGGTGAAAATATAAAACTAAAGCTTATGTCTTAACTCTAGGTTGTGTATGACTAGTATACATTATGTCGAAAATCACTTTACCTTACACTCCAACTTGTCTATGACCCCTATACCTTACACTTTAGGTTGTCTAGTACCAGTGTACCTTATACTCCAGACTGTCTTTGACCATTATACCTTATTCTTCAGGTTTTCAATGACTAGTATACCTTATACTCGTTGCTGTCAATGACCACTTATGACCACTATGCCCAACCCTCAACCCTTCAGGTTGTCCTTGAACACCATACTTTATGCTCCTGGTTGTTTGTGACCACTTTATCAAATGCTCCAGGTTATCTATGACCACCATACTTTATGCTCAAGGTTGTCAGTGACCACTATACTATACCTAATGCTCCAGGTTGTCTATATATACATTACACTCCAGGGGTCAGTGACCACTATTCTTTATACTCCAGGTTGTCTATGGCTGGTATAAATTATACTCCAGGTTTTTATGACCAATACCCTGTACTCCAGTTGTCAGTGACCAGTTTACCTCATACTGCAGGTTGTCTATGAGCATACATTATACTACGAGTTGTCTAAGACAACTAACCCTTATTCTTCAGGTTGTCTTTGATCACTACACCTGATACTCCAGGAGTTATATGACATCATGCCTTCAACTCCAATTTTCAGTGACCACTTATACTTTCTGGTCCAGGCTATCAATTACCATCATAGCTTATACTCCCAGTTGTCTATGACCCCTATACCTTACACTTTAGGTTGTCAATGTCCAGTACACCTTACACTTCAGGTTGCCAGTGACCACTATACATTACACTTCATGTTGTCTTTGACAATTATACCTTATTCAGGTTGTCTATGACCTAGGGCTGGGCGTGTTCCTGGTGGAATGATTGTTCTTTCCCGAGAACAAACGGAACAATCAAGAACAATCCCATTGTTAAAAAAAACGCTTAGAACGCGTTCTTAAAAATATTGGAACGATTAGTAAAAGAACGGAACAGAACGGAACAGGAATTGCTTGAAAAGAACAGTTAAAATCGTTAACGCGTTCTTAATATCAAGAACATGTTCTAAGTTGGGAACACATTTAAACAAGGAATGTGTTCAAAATCCAATAGAAATAGTTAAAGATGTTTTTATTTAATTACCTGACCCCCCTTTACTCCCCCCACTTTAAACCAGCCATCACCCCCCCCCCTTCCCCGGTCTCTGCTAAACTGACAACACAGCAGGTTTCAGTTTAACTTCTGTATATCGTACATATTAAGGATATTAGGACGATCCCGCCCCTCCCCCTGCTCTCACAAAATTATACATTGCTCAGCCCAGAAATTATCTAAACTTATTCTTTTAACCCTAAATTTAAAATATTTAATTTAAAGGATTAAACGGGAGGGAACAGAACGAGAACGGAACGATAAAAAAAGAGGAACAAGAACGGAACGATTTAGCTGAAGGCCCTCGTTCTAGAACGGAACGGAACGATTTCAAAAAAGTCGGAACATGCCCAGCCCAACTATGACCCTATTCCTCACACTCTAGGTTGTCAATGAACAGTATACTTTATACTCCTTTACACTTCAGGTTGTCTATGACCTCCAAACCTTACACCCTAGGTTGTCAATTGCCATTATAGTTTATGCTCTGCAGGACTGTCAATGATCAGTATACTGTATTCTCTATTATGTCTTATGACCACTATACATTACACTTCAGGTTCTCTATGACCAGCATACCTTATAATCCAGGTTGTCTATGACAACTGTATCTTATACTCCAGGTGTCAATGATGACTGTACCTTACACTCTAGATTTTCAATGACCATCATACCTTATGCTCCAGGTTGTCTATGACCACCAAATCTTACACTTAAAGTTGTCAGTGACCACTTTGACTTAAATTCCTGGTTGTCTATGACCACCAAATCTTACACTGTGCTCTATGGCCACTTTACTTTATACTCCAGGTTGTCTATGACCACTACACCTTATGCTCCAGGTTCTCTATGACCAGTGTTGTTGAGTATCCAGGTAGATGCTGAGCATGGTAGCAGATGCTCACCTTTAAATCATTTATTTATTTGTTCAGCTTATTATAGAAACAAAATAAGAGCAGGCAAAATAGGGATTGTAAATGTGAAGTGTTGTGAAAATGTATAGATAATATAATTTAAGAGGTAAAGAAAATCGCAACTTTTCCCTTAATTAACAAAGCTGAGTTTTATCTAATAACAATTTTACAAAAAAGTTACCACCCGGAAAACGTTGGACAAGCAAATATTTCAATAAATAAAACAGGTGAATTATATCAAATTTATCATGCAATATTTCAAAATAAATTATATGAAAAATTTGTAAAATTTCAGAAACAAAAAACCAGCTGATGGTAAAATAAGCATAAAATACAAAATAAGGAAATATTCTCAATAAACTCCGGTTGTTGCATTTATATTGTTTATCCACACAAATTCAAAATGTCTATTATCTATATCTTCACACTTGAGTAACTTTGATATTTCAAACTACAGTGGTCAACCTTTATATTTTTAACAAGGCCTTTTCAAGTTACAGGTTTTACATTATCACTATGCTTTGAAAACGACATTTCATAAATTCTTGTCTTAAAATCTCTTGATCGATTATATTTTAGTATTTTCATGCCTTTATTGAATAATTTTAAATAAAAAATAAATGCCTGTAGAGGTTCAACTGCAGGTATCTACAAACAAATAAAAATGTATATTAATATATAAATTTATAAATGAATTAAATATAGTAGGGATTAAAATAGAAAAGTGTTATTTAATCCCCTTTTCCTATACAATCTATACTAGTTTAGTTTCAGCCCCTCTACCTTTATAATCCTTCCCAGTGTAGTATAATCCCCTCTACCTATACAATCTATACTAGTTTATTTTCAGCCCTTCTACCTATACAATCTATACTAGTTTATTTTCAGCCCTTCTACCTATACAATCTATACTAGTTTATTTTCAGCCCTTCTACCTTCATAATCCATCCTAGTTTAGTTTAATCCCCTCTACCTATATAATCCATACAAGTTTAGTACAATCCCCTCTACATTTATAATCCATCCTAGTTTAGTTTCAGCCCTTCTACCTTTATAATCCTTCCTAGTGTAGTATAATCCCCTCTACCTATACAATCTATACTAGTTTATTTTCAGCCCTTCTACCTATACAATCTATACTAGTTTAGTTTAATTCCCTCTACCTATATAATCCACCCTAGTTTAGTATAATCTCCTCTACCTATATAATCCACCCTAGTTTAGTATAATCCCCTCTACCTATATAAACCCTCCTAGTTTAGTGTAATCCCCACTAAATATATAATCCACCCTAGTTTAGTGTAATCCCCTCTACCTATATAATCTATATGTAATAAATATCGCGTAATTGTAATAAATCTGTAAACCTGTACTACATTGTACATTATTAATTATTGTAACAATGGGTGATTTTGTTGATCTTTTACGATCAGCGATTCAAGGATCTTTTTAGATCACTGAAATCATAGCTGGCTAGGGGCATAACCCCCCCCCCCCTTTATACCATTCGGTTGGACTTTTGAATCCTATTTTGAATTCTAACGGATTTATTTGAGTTTGCATGTGAATTCTATAAATAACCCAAGCCAAGCTGAAAGTTCCGTTATTCCAGAAGCACGGGGGCTGGGGGGCTAGCCGGCCAGCTCCAGGGGAACTAGGGTTAAATGAGAGCCCAGGGTGGAGCGAAATGAAGGGAAAAGAATCAGTTGATCATCAGCTCCCTTAAACTGAGGTTCCCTTGAAGATTACCCATCACTCTGAAACTGCTTCAATTCTTAATATTTTATTAGTATAGTATCAACCGTTTTATTTTTGTATCTTTGTAAATAATAAACTGTAGGAAAAACATTAATAATACAAGTGTTTGCATTGATTTATTTTCTTTCATATACAATATGGTGACAAGTTCAAAAATTGGAAGCCCAAATAGCAACACTCGTTTTTAATAATATTCGGCGAAATAGTTTTCTAACATTTCGGCACACCCTAACTGAAAGCTAGACGCCAACTCATTGTCCAGCACAGTTAACTGTTACTTTTTGAATTGTGATCATTTCACTGAATTTCTAAGGTAAAACGACGTTATTTTTCTTTTCTTTAATAATCTATAAGTTTATGAGTATGGCGAAAATATTTTCATCAAACTTTAATGTTCGTTTCGACAGATTGACGTAGTTAATTAGACACGAGTTAAGATAACATGTTAGAAACACAGACGGACAAAATGTTGTTTAAATTCCAACATCTTGTTCAACCGTACTCCATTCTTGTATTCTTTGGATGGAGAACAACGTCCCTGAACAACGGGGACCTGGGGGTAGACCTGATTGGTTCCTTAGCTGGCTGAAGGAGGTGTTTTTGCCGGCATCCCGTGACCCGTTAGCATCCCAAATTGAGCAGTTTGAAAATGCAGTAGACCAAATCCCAAACATTGATGAGTTGGTTAAAAAGTCGTTAACCACAACCCTGTCCACGGAGGCAAGAATAATATTGCAGAAAGAGGATGACAAATCGAAGGTGCAACAACTGCTTAAAACTCAAATCCTGGCTATTGATGATGCAGTGTCTCCTATGCCATGGAGCCAGTTAACAGAGTCTGAGGCCAAAATCATCTCCAGAGTTGTGGAAAATATTCCACAACAAGATTTCTCTACCAGATCCCTCAAACACTGGTCTATCCACTTCTCTGACCTATTTGATAAATTCTTCATTTCAAGCAGGGTGGGCCGCATTGCTGTTATTTATAACAGCTGCTCCACCAGCTTAAAGCAACGTCTACTGGCGCTAGATGTCAGTAATGAAGCCCAGAAGGACTCCTACTCCTATCTGAGCTTACTGCAACTTATAACCACAGTAGTTCACAGCCCTGTCTCCAAGGACGAAGCCATGATGAATATTTACAAAGGTTTCCGCCAGGCTAGTTCGGAATCAGTTCAATCTTACCTACAGAAAGTATGTGATACGGCCGAGGAGGCCTATGGCCCCAGTTCAGGTTGGACAATGTCACAAGCGTCTCTCCTGCTTAAGAAGATATGTGAGGGTTTATG